TTTCTTCTAGGGTGAGATGAGTGTGATCAACTTTCTTCTTTCCTGTTCCTAGTTTCAGTTTTACATTCTCAGACCTAAGTTCTAGGACACTAGTGTCAAGTACAAGAACCTGTTTCTTCAACTCAGTATTTTCACTTTCACTCTCATTAGCCCTAGACTCTAGATTTTTGCACTTGGCTTTTAGTATCATACATTCCCTAGAAAGCTCTTCCTTTTCATTGTTAATTATCTCAAACTCATCAATGAAATCCTGCAATAGCTCAGACAACCTTTCTTTAGACATGAATTTAATCTTGTCTTTGAGATGAAGAATACTTACCTCTTGTTCATCATCTGATTCTCCTATGGCCATAAGAGCTTGTTCATCTCCACCTTCATCTTCTAATTCCTCATCTGATGTTTCTCTCCAGGTAACAACCAAAGCCTTTGTTGATCCTTTGTTCCTTTTTGGTTGAACATGTTCCTTCTTCCTGCTCCATCGTTCAGCCCTTTCCTTCTTCCACTCAATTTCCCATTGAGGGCAGTTCTTGATCATGTGATCAGTCTTACCACACTTGTAGCAGCCCTCATTGGTCTATTTCTCAGGAGCCCTTGGTTTGTTGAAGGTTGTACATCTTGAAGAACCCTTTCCTCTCATCAAGTAATTTTTGAATTTTCTAGTGATCATATCCATTTCATCATCCTCCAGATCTGAACCTTCAGCAATTCTAAGAGCCAAACTTCTTTCCTTCTTAGGTGAATCCATTTTCATGGTCTGCCTTCTCAGTTCATAGGCAGTAAGGTTCATCCAGCTTGAGGGTAGCAATGTCTTTGATTCCTGAATAGCAATGATTTTTCTTTCCCAAGAGACAGGCAAAACCCTGGTCAAAATTTTCTCAACTTTGTCTTTTTCGAGAATAATCCTTCCAAGAGATTTAAGTTCATTTGTAAGTGTGGTAAACCTTGTATACATCTCTTGGATGGTTTCTCCTTCCTTCATGGTGAAGTTCTCATACTAGGAGTACATTAATGTTCCTCTGGATCTCTTCACTTGAGGTGTTCCTTCATGAGCCACTTGCAGAGTGTCCCAGATTTCCTTAGCAGTAGTACAGCTTTGAATTCTACTATACTCATCTGGACCTAGTCCACACACAAGCCATTTCTTGGCCTTGGCATTTTTCTCCCACTTCTTTAGGTCTTCAGCGGTGTAGGCAGCCCTTGTCTTAGACACATCTACTCCTTCAGCATTTTTCTTTGTAGTTGCTAGAGGACCATTAGTGACTATGTCCTAGAGCTCATAGTCTTCTCCTATGATATGATCCCTTATCCTGTTCTTCCACCAAGAATAGTACTGACCATTGAAAAGTGGAGGCCTAACAGTGGATTGCCCTTCCTAGTTCCCAGGTGGTGCACTCATGTTGATCTTTTTCTAAGGTGTTAGCCTCTTCAAGGATAACCTGCTCTGATACCAATTGATGTTTTAAGCGTCAATACCACACAAGAGGGGGTGATTTGTGTGGTACCCAATTTTTGATTTAGAAGAACCAGGTTCTTCTAGGTGTTCTAACTACTACTATTTGCGGAATTAAAAGTACATAAAATAAAAAACACAGAGATTTTTACGTGGAAAACACCCAACTCAAAAGGTGAAAAAACCACGACCTACTACTCAATAGGATTTTTCCCAACACTTCACTAAATCACTGAGCCAAAACAGCATTTACAAAACTCTTAGTAAACCTAAGGATTACCTCTAATCCCGTTGTAGCAACCAGCCTCTAACTGTTGCGACAACTTCAAGTTAGCCTATAACTTGAACTCTCAAAGTACCTAATACTATTGCTTTTATGAAAGCTAGAAAGGTACAACTTTAAACCACCTACTACAATTGAACTAGAATAAGAAAAAAACACAATGGAATTGGTTCTTCTATCTCATTTAAGTAGCTTCAAGAGTGCACACTCAAATCTCACATAAATTGCTTGCAAAATCACCTTGCTCTTTTGTTTTCAATTTAGTTTAACTTCTGCATTTGTGCGATACCTATAAAAGAGAACAATCACTGTTACTTAATGAGTTAGTAATTAGAGTTTGATTGAGACTCAATTGCTGATCTTCCATCGAAATTGAGTCCTTCGAAATTGAGTCCTTGAACAACACAAACTCCAACACTATCTTTTATCCGAATTGTGTTCTCTTCACATAAGGAGACTTTCTCCTCTTATCCAATATGCAACCTTTTCGATCAGATCAGGAGATATTGATGCTTGATCAGTGGGACTTATCTTCTTCACGTGCATCTCACATGTATAGGTTGATCATGACTATGCTTCACATGATGGACCTGATCCATGACTGAGTTCATTTGTCATTATTCAAAACTTTACCTATTCTTGGGCCAACAATTCTTTTGGTAAGCTCCTCGAGCATTTTCATTATTACAGGATCAGTCCCTGATACGTTACCATTCAACCTTTCTGGCACTGGCTCGGTACGACGAGTGATTTCTGGCTCGACCCCACTCGGATTTGTATGTTGATTTTGTAATTGAGCAATAGCGATATGTTAAGTCTGTAGCATCTCGAATATCACCTGGAGACTAACTCCTCTGTCTCCTCTGCCCTGTGTACCTTGGCCACTAGATTGGCCTTCTCTTCATACACTCCCTTCGGGGTCCGCGCCTAGATCCACATTTAAAGTAACGTGCGAACTAACATCGACTGGATTGGCAACCGGTGCTCCCTCGAGATTAGCCTTTGGCACCTCGAATCCTGGAGCAAGTACATTGTTGTTTTCCCCGTGAAACCCAAGACCATCTTCACCATGTGTGGGTGCATTTTGTGAGTTTGACATGTTTAACCTGAGAGAAAAGATACTTGACAAGAACAAGCGTAAAATAATGTGTGCTATCATAATCAGCACTGAATAATCACTATTATCCTTAGCCCCATGGTGGGCGCCAAACTGTTTACCCTTAAATTCGGATAATAATTAAACATATATTGTTGTTTTAAGGATATGTGATTTCGTCCAATACCAATTGATAATCAAGAAAATAAATGAATAAATTAGAGAATAAAATAAATCAAACTAGTGTGCTAGCCAAGTATCGACCTCGACTTGGGGTAGTCTCAAAATGGGATACTAAGAATAGTAAATGGTAAAGCAACTCTGATGAACAATAACTGAAATAACAGAAAAGTAATGAGTGTATATATTCTTGTTAGTGAACAATAATCATGCTTACAAATGAATGGGATCCCTCTTTATATAATAGAGGAGTCCTAAATAAGGTACACTTCTAATTATAGTAGGAAACCATATTAACATCTAATTAACCGTTGTAGATTGTTCTGTTCCGAGATTCACGCCACAATCCTCGACCAATCGCGAATATCTCGCCTTTTCCGTTATCAATCTATGCCGATGTCACTCGAAGTCTGCCTCTTTCTGGACGCAATTGATGTCGACCATGGTCCGGACTCGACGTCCTAGCTCTTTGACGTGACATTCCTATCTCGACCAAAGAATGAAATCAGATAGCCCCGATTTCTACCGTATACATAACAAAACATCTGTCTTATAAAAGTTAGGAACTTTTTCAATTATCTGTCATATGTTGCTTCATTTCAAGAATAGGACATGTATTAAAGCTATTATCTTTCATAATCTTCAAACAATCTTCAGAATTAAATGAATCTTCAGTACCGTAAACCCTAATTTTTTACACTGATTCACCAGCAAAACCTTATATTTACTCCTGATTCGAAGTAGCAGCAACAATAAGAAGAGAAATCGATGGTAGCAACAATAAGATTAAGGTAATTAAGAAGAGAAATCGAAGGTGTTTCATCTCCGATGAGAGAAGTTTTCGGATGAGAGCAAAGAGACCGTTTTTACTGAAAATTCCCTTTTTAATTTTTACCACGTAATTAAATTAATGTATGTTAATTAAGCTCTTTTTAAGATTATGGTAATTAATTATCCACGTGGCATGCCATATGGCAAGTTTTAAAATTTATTTAGAGCGTGTATCATACGCACTAGTAAGATTGAGACGGGGTGGGGGGTGTTATTATGAAACGGAATATAGTTCAGGGGGATTTTGGGACAGTCGATAGTTTAGGTGGGAAAATGACAAAGATCATATAGTTTAGGTGGGTTTGAGGGTACTAAATCTCATTTAGAGTAGACAAGCTTTCTTAGTGGGTGTGTTAAATGAGCATAAGAAATATGAATTAAATGGGTTTTATCTTTAAAAATCTATTTTTTAATAAGACATAGCATGCCAAATGAGTATTTCATATTTTTTTTTGTCAAAAAGCAATAAATGAATGACTTTATTGTTCTAAATTAAACAAAAACAACTTTAAAACTTGTTTATTTGACCATCCAAAGAAATACTTTCTCCATGTGAACCTTTTTTTTTTTTTTAGTTTGTGTCAAAAAAAATTCCTTTTTATATTTTAAAATAATTTACCTTTATATAATAATTTATAGCCACACAAAATATATGTATAATATTTTATATCACGTGTTCAAAAGTCATTCACTTATATTTTTTAAAAACTTAGGAGATATCGGTGTACAATGTTGAGACATTACTAGTATTGTATACTACTCGAAAACAGTACAATGTCTATTTGGTAGTGTTAGATTAGCACGAGGCCCTGGACTGGTTGTATTTCACATCTCCGCTGCTTAAACCCTAAAACTCAGCAGCAGCAGCGCGGCCCCTATTCACACCCATACCTTAAAACGGGTGTGTTGGGTAGCAATGAATGGAGTCAATTACTGAAGCTCTACTGTTGTATCTCTATGCTCACGCCATGTTAATTTTTGTTCGCGGCCTATTCAGAAAGTCTCAGCACCGTGTAAGCCATTTGTTAACTTCTCCTACTTCATCATCTACTACTACTCCCTTCATTCCATTCCCGCAAAACTTGTTCTTCTTTGTCAACAGTTTCCTTTGCTTATTCAGATACTCATTTTCCACAAATAATACTACTACTTTTAGTGATGCCGACTCTATAGAAAAAATCATACGGGAAGAGAAATGGGATGATTTTAGGATTGTGAGACTCTTTGACTCCGCTTTAGCTCCTATTTGGATCCCCAAAATCCTTTTGGCATTGAAACAAGAACCAAGATTAGTTTTGAAGTTTTTCATGTGGGCCAAAACGCAGACTGCTTTTGTTCATACTGCGGAGAGTTATTGTATTGTAGCTCACATTTTGTTCTGTTCTAGAATGTATAGTGATACACTTGATGTTCTAAAAGAGCTGGTTACTTTGAGTGATGCTAAAAAGGTGTTGCCTTGTTCCCATGTACTTGATGTTCTTTGGTCAACGAGGAACACTTGTGTGCCGGGGTATGGGGTGTTTGATGCATTATTTAGTGTTCTAGTTGAATTAGGGTTGCTTAAGGAGGCTAGTGAGTGCTTTTCAAGGATGACAAGTTTTAGAGTTCTTCCCAAAGCACGGTCTTGTAATTATCTTTTGCACAGACTCTCTGTGTTAGGCCATAAAAGCTCATGCTTGAAGTTCTTCGAGGATGTGATTGAGTCTGGAATTATTCCAACAGTGTACACCTACAATATAATGATTGGCTATTTATGTAAGGATGGGGACTTGAATGCTGCAAAAAGGTTATTCACTCAGATGAAGGATATTGGCATTGATCCAGATATAATTACATACAATTCTCTCATTGATGGAATTGGTAAGCATGGAGAGCTAGACGATATGGTTTCTCTATACGAAGAAATGAAGAAAGTTGGATGTTTTCCTGATGTAGTAACATATAATACACTGATCAATTGTTTTTGTCGATCTGGAAGGATGGTATTAGCATTTAAGTATCTGCATGAGATGAAGAAAAGTGGCTTGAAGCCCAATGTTGTTACTTATAGCATATTTATCGATGTTTTTGCCAAAGAAGGGATGTTACAAGGAGCTATCAAGTTCTTTGTTGACATGAGGCGGGTTGGTCTTGCTCCTAATGAATTTACTTATACTTCGTTGATTGATGCACATTTTAAAGCTGGTAAACTTGATGAAGCTTTGAAACTTGTTAAAGAGATGCTAGAGGTAGGAGTTAAGTTAAATGTTGTGACCTACACGACATTGGTTGATGGTCTTTGTAAAGAAGGGAAAATCAAGGAAGCTGAAGAAGTTTTTATGGTCATGCTGAAGGATGGGATTATCCCAAATTTAGAAGTCTATACTGCTCTCATCCTTGGGTATATCAAATCAAAAAGGCTAGTGGATGCTATGAATATTTTGGAGCAAATGAAAGAAAATAATATCAGACCAGACGCATTACTCTATGGAATATTTTTATGGAGTTTCTGCTCTGATGAGAAGTTTGAAGAAGCCAAGGTTTTATTTGATAAAATGAAGGGACTTGGAATAGAAGCAAACTATGTCATATACACAATACTTGCTGATGCTTACTTTAAGGCTGGAAAACCCATAGAAGCACAGACTCTGCTAAATGAAATGCAGGAAAGAGATATTTCCTCTACTGTTGTGACGTATTCTGCATTAATTGATGGCTTGTGTCGGTTGGGATTTGTCCACGAAGCAATGGACCATTTCCATTCAATGCCAAAAATGGGTTTGCATCCTAATATTGTGGTCTATACAGCTCTTATTCATGGCCTCTGTAGAAATAAATGTCTAGAGGCGGCAGAAAAGCTGTTTGATGAAATGCTTGGCAAAGGTATACTTCCAGATAAAATAGTGTATACATCCTTGATTGATGGAAACCTAAAGCAGGGAAATATTCAAGATGCTTTAGATTTGCGAAGGAGAATGACCGAAAGTGGTTTGGAGCTTGACCTTCATGCCTACACTGCTTTGATTTGTGGGCTTTCGGAAAATGGCCAGGTGCCTCAGGCAAGAACTTTTTTTGATGAAATGATTGACAAGGGCGTTAAACCTGATGAGGTTGTATATTCATGCCTTATAAGAAAATATCAAGAGATCGGTAATCTAGAAGAAGTTCTTGCGTTGCAAAATGAAATGATGAAAAGAGGACTTACGTCGGTTACAAGTAGTCGACTATGCAGTTCTTAATATGCAAACCTGAGAAATAGTATTTTTCTTCTCTGGTTCTATCATTGAAGAGGTTGGATTATACTGTGTCTTTTCTCATATCCAATTCAACCCCATCTCAATACTGAGGTAAGTTTCAGTTTACTCCTGTTTTCTTTTGTGCTCACATGTTGTTTAAATGTTCTAAAATAGAAAAAATGAGATAACAACTGACTGGTAAGTACATATTATGTTTTGTTGAAAACTATAATTTGTATATAATGCTGAAACCTTGCTAGATTTCATTGCCTACATGAGCAGTTAGTAGGAACCTGTTGTGTACTTTTGAGAACTTTTTGGATGTAATTCACAGCACCAGCTTAATGCTGATACATGAGCAGTTAGCTGATACTTTTTGGATGTGACTGTTCATGCTCAATGTTATCCATGTTATCCATTTGTAGCCGAAACCCATTCTTCCAAACATAGATAAGATAATTTCTTGATGTCCAATTCACACAATAATCTTGGTTCTCCTTTCCTGAATCTCGAGTTAGACGTTTCATTTGCTATAAAGGATGCATCTAGAATATGTCCTTCAATAAAAGCATTCTGGGATGTGGAGATGAGCTTACCAGTTTCGACCTTCCATCTAGCTCTTTGGATATTATTTTATAAACGTTCCCCAGTATACTATTGAGTGTATATCCTTAGCACCATTCTTCTTTTGTATGAGTACAATAAAGGAAGCTTTGGAAGTTTTTCCAAGAATCTTTTGTGTCAGATTTATTGCTGTAAATGAGGGTTCTCCACTCTACTGAAAGTATGTATTTCTAGGCGTACCAGTTTATAGGTTTAGTTATTAATGAAAGTTTAGTTTGTTAGGGGAAGTCAAATTAATGGTGATTCATAAGAAGTTAAAGATGAGTTGTCGGAGATTGAAATAGGGCCTTCCTTTTGTCATCCTCTCTTTTTTCATATTTGTTCTTGGAGGTTCCTAAACTAGACTGTATTCTCTGTATAGCTTGTTTGGTATCGCTACTAATTTATCAATATCATCCTTTTGTATTCTGTTTATTTGTGCTTGGTTCCATATCAAACATAGCTTCTATAGTAGTTGTTTTATATGCTAGATATTAATAAGACTTGTAAAGTGTAAACTAGATACCCCTGTAAAAAAAACTAGTGTAAGCATGATACTAGTCAATATATGTATTGACCCAACTGGTTCTTTTGTCTTTCTTAGATGATACCATTCATTTTTGTGCTGAGAGAATTATCGGCTTGTCCCCTGGGTCTGATCTCCCTGGAAACAGAGGAAATGCGGTAACAACAACAACATACCCAGTATATTCCCATATTTGGGGTCTGGGGATAGTGTGTACGCAGACCTTACCCCTACCTAGTGAAGGTAGAGACGTTGTTTCCAATAGAAAGGTGGTAAGTTTTCTCATAATTGGTGCTTAACATTGGGTTGGAAATGTTGCATTTGGGTTTGATGTCTTCTTATTGAAAAGAAAAGGTATACAGATCATGCTAATATCAAAAGAAAAAGACTAAATTGATGCTTCTTTGTGGCAAGGATATACTAAAGGCTAATAAACCAGTCTTGGTTTTAGAAATTGTGCTAGTCATCCCCTTGTCAGCTAATCATGTCTAATGCGCAAGTTTTCTCTTCTAAAGAAGTGATAAAAATGCATGTTACTTCCTTAAAGTTCTATGAACACATTAATATTAAGGCATAAAGTCGTAAAACATGGGATTAATACATACTTTACTCCCCAAACTTGGACAAAAATCCTTTACTTTTCTTTGTGTCTATTTTCCGTAGCAAAAGCCCCACGAAAATGCCATGTGGCATGTGCGTCACTGCATCACTTACCAGCCCAAGCAAAGCGTGCAAGGGTTAAAAATCTGTCAAAATCCCATTTTTTAAAAGATTTTTCAGCTTGTTTTCTTCTTTTTAGATGCTACCTCTTTTTTGACACTTCTTTTTTCTTTTTTTGCCTTATTGTATATTCTTTTCCTTTTCTTTATTTTCTCTTTCCTTCTTTCTTTTTCTACTCCAATTGTTCTTATCCTCTGAACTCTCCGATATACTGTTGCTCCAGTAAGCAGCCAACTATAGGGTGCACACTTTACTGTTAGCCACATGAGCTCAACCATGTTGAACGCAGCAACTAGAGGTGCATGCTCTACTGTTAGCCACATGAACTCAACCACGGTCCAGTTAAGCAGAAGCTCTCTTGGTCACTTGATTGCCGATATTTCTCAGAGGGAAGTTAGGAAGAAGGAACGAGAAAGCAGGGAAAAGATACAAAAGATAAGGATAATGAAATAGATCCTTTGTTTCTCATGCATATTTTGCATTCTTTTTGGTTTTAAATCTGTTAATGGGAAAATGGGTTTGTTACCGGCAAAGTTTGTCGAGCAAAAGTGAAGGTAGAAGGCCCACAGGGTTATGGGAATGAAAATAGAGAAAGATTTCTACAGAGACTGCCAAGATTTGGTCCAGCCAGAATTTCAACCAAGAAAATGACAATGGGAAAAGGGGTTTTCGCCGGTAAATTTGGCTTGGAAAAATGGTTGAAAGCTAGCAAGGATGGACCTTTTTTCATTTTTTTCCCATGACGTGTCATGAGTGGTGCGTATCATGTGCTTCCAAGAGGGAGTGGTCGTATGTCATCCAGGAGGGTCTTAGACATGGATTTTGCAGAATTAAGAAGGATGCCACGAAGAAAAGGTGTGTAAATGGGATTTCTGTGCAAGTTGGAGGACTAAGAGCCCATTTGGATTGGTTTTAAAAAAGTGGCTTTTAAGTATAAGTGCTTAAAAGTACTTTTAAGTGCTGGAGTTTGTTTTATAAATAAGCAGTTAAGTGTTTGGATAAAAGTGCTGAAACTTAAAAAAAGTTGTTGAAGTGTTTGGTAAATAAGTGCTGGTAAGCACTTGTTTCTGTTAAAATGACTGAAATATCCTTAAAGTTGTTAACACTATAAAGAAAATAATTACGATAATATTTTATTCTAAATTAATACATATACAAAAAAATTATAATTTAGTTCATTTTCAATTTAAAACTGATTGCCTAAATATAAATTATTTATTTAAATAACATGCAATAATCTATTATTTCACCAAAAAATATTTTTTCGGCTCATAGCTTCAAATTCTTTGTTAATAGATAGACTCATTGAAAATTTTGATTTAGAATATAGTTTCTCCAATTTAAAAAAATGAGGGATTCAACAGCAATTTTTTTTTAAAAAAAATGTTATGGAACCAAAAAAGAAACTAAAACAAAATAATGTATATAAAATATTAAATGCATCAAACATTTACAAAGCTACAGTTGGCTTTACGTTTACAACTTCAAACAAATTGATAAAATTTTGGGGAATGGCAGCAGAGATGACACGGGATTTATTAATTAGTAAGGGAAGGATAGTTTTGGATTTAGAAAAAGTAAAAGGGATAATAACTCTACAAAGAACAAAACACTATTTTTCACTCTCATGAATCCAAAACCAAAAGAGTTCGGCAGTGATGGAATTTGGAAGGCACACATTGGAAATGACAAAGGAAAGGAGAAAAAGAAAAGATTATGGAATTTGGAAGGCAGAGATTGAAAATGGCGGAGGAAAGGAGAAAAAGAAAAGATTGGGGTATTTTGAAAATTATACATAAGTATCAGGGATAGCAATATAAAATACTTGGTCAAAGAGGGATGACTTTTAAGCTAGAAAAAAAAAGTTGGGATTACCCAACTTATCACTTTTGGCTTAATTTGGATCTTTTGGCTTAAAAGCATTTGACCTTTAAGCAGATTTTAAGTTTGCCAAACACCTCAATAAGCTAAAAAATGACTTAAAAGCTGGTTTGACCAGCTTTTAAGCCCATCCAAACAGGCTCTAATTTATGCATTAAGCCTAACTTGATTTTCTTGTGGGAAACTAGGACTTTACCTTACCAATGAAAGAAAAAAAATCTTGAATTTTCATTTAGTAAGGCTTAAATAATTGGAATATTTTTCTCTTTAAATATTTAAGTGAGATAAGATGATGATTATTTTATTTTATTATTAAATGTTGTATCATTCATACTTTTGAGTCTGTATAAAAATGGTATGAAAGGAAATTATTTTTCCTCCTTTTTCTGTGTGGTCGGCGGAGATCAGCATAAACCCAAAAGTATGAAGATGTAGAAGCCCACACAGAAATGCTAGATATTTTGGAAATAAAAGTTAATTATTTATTTTTTTCGTTTTTGGATAACTGCAATATAGAGGGAACATTATGACCAATCGATGTTTCATGTGTCAGAAAAAGACAATAAATATCTTTTCTGCATTGTACAGTGGACAAAAGTGTTGGAGAACTACACCATACTCAAATTCGAGTTCAAATTGAAAGCGAAATGGTAGATGCCCTGAGGATGAATCTGAAGCCATTCAGTGAGATGCATTGTCGGAGATGTCTCTCTTCCTTCTTTTTCCCTTCGTCTTTGGTGCATGAGAGTCTATGTTACTCAGATGCGAGTACTCAATACGAGTGCGGATAGAGGTTGGATTCTTCATCACACAAGTTTTTGGATTTGGGGTTATGGATCTGAGTACAAATACAGGTGGGATACTGTCAATAAATGTACATTGAAGCATATATAAGTATATAAAATGATTAGTAAACCTTATTGAGCTAAAACTAATAAAATATAATTCTTAAGAAATACATAATTTTTTATTCATAAGATTTCTCGTGTAATAGTTATGCGTTCTCATACTTTATATAACTATCTACATATGATATAAACCCAAAACTCAAACCAAGTAGATGTAGTCAAAGCATCCAAGGTAAGTTGACCAAATCCAATGTGGACCCCTCCTCCTCCACTCACACTCAAATCATGTCGGATCGACATGGGTGCGGAAGGGATTTGAAGGGCCCGAGCAACATATGTGAGAATGGAGAGTAACAGGAATTTTTGAGGGCCCTTCCTAGGAGCTTCTTTGGAGGGTTTGTAGGCTTTTCTTAACGTTAGCTTTAACATAACTACAATGGGATTAGACTAGAGAGCCTCTATGGTTCTATTTCCTTCTTAATTCTCTTATATGTTAATCTGGGAACATATTTTTTTGTTTGTTGGTAATGCGGGGATGTATTGTCTTACCTTATCGCATCTCTCTTTTCCATATCTATCAATAAAATCTTTCCTCCAAGAACTAGCACTGTAATCTGTTGTTAGTAAGGCTCCAAGTTAATAAATCAGCTAAAACCATAATAGTATTATGCTTTTGATTTTTCAATTGGCTTTTCAACTTCTATTAACTCTACTGTTGTGTGGGCCTGACTTAGCTTATTCTCTTGTTTTTGGTGAAACTCTTGTTTTTGGTGAACTATAATGTCAAGCGCTTATCCAGGAGCACACCCATGATTTTTTCTGGAGCTCAATACTTGCTTGATTGTGGAGACCTGGAGAAATATCAAGTATCACTGTAAGTGGTGGATCTTGAGGAATTTCTACAACAATGTGAGTGTCAAGGTAACAGCAAATTTCCTACCTTATTTTATTTTTAAGCTATGAATGAAGCTATATTGGCTGTTGATGCTACATTTTCTTATTCCAGTTTTCATGGACCAGATATATCATAATATCACCACGAGACGGCAGGGCCAAGATATTTTACAGTGTCATGGTCCAAGCATGAAGTTGTTGAAGTCATTCATTCAGAGTCCTAGGTTTTAGCTCAATCTTCACAAAATGAACTGAGCAAGAGGGAGAACTGACCAAGAGGGAGGTTAAGGGGACTCTGTCCTGAAGACTGAGGGGGCTAACATGAAGTAGTGGTCTCTTTTTTATATTAGTTATACAAAGATTATCGAGGACCACAGTTCAAATTTCAGTGTATTCAAAAAGCACTAGGTGATTTCTTCCCAACTATCTTAACCTTGTTGGATAGAGTTAAACGAGTACGGCCAGAGATAGCAGGAATTCAGTGGTTAGTCGAGGACACCAGCTATCAAGAAAAGTTGCAGTGAGATATTGTTGGAAAATTCCCTAGTATAATAATTACGATTTCAATTTGGATTTTTGGCCTATTTCTATAACGTCATTTTTTTCTAAACTCAAGGTATTATGCTTATGAGGATCTGATTCATCAATGTACTTTTAAAAAAAAGAAGCACGAATCTGATTTATCAATGTAATTGCTTTGGTATGGCTAATATTTAGTTGGCCGAGTGTGTTAGCTTCTGATTTGAGGCTATGCCAACGTTTTCATTTGTTCTTCTAGACATCACTGTATGTTATCAAGGGGAACAAGGATGGATTGGGGTTTTGGGTAAACAGGTGAAGGGGGAAAGAAGTAGATTCTTTGCATTGGACAGTTAGAAGCTGTAAACTGATATGGAATCAGTTGTGACCTAGTTTGATCCGAGTTTCTGTTTTGCATCTACTCGTTTTATGTTTACCAATTTCTTGGTTTGTGAATCATTCAGAGTCAGAACCCTCTATATTGTACTGTTCTTTCTGGATTAAGTTTTCCTGTTATTAATATTGAAGACATTGCCTATTCAATTGGTGGGAGTCAACCACCTCTTTTGAAACGAGAGCTATGCTTACTGAAAGATTGATGCTGGAGGTGGTGTGTTAAGTTGTCGGAGGTCAATGATTTGGCTATTCTGGAATACCAACTATTATGTATATTAACAAGAATGGTTGATCGAGCCCTATCTTGATGAAGAAGTGAGGTCGGTCTCGAGTTGTCTTTTATCCCACCTAATCTTGCTATTTCTTAAAATATGTAGGGATTCCATTATTTTACTGTTTTGACACTAACCACAAGATGAGAAAAAACTGTAAGTGCGATAGAGTGGTGGCCCATTGTGGTGGTCTCTCTAGCCGGTTAGCGATGAGGGGTCAAGGGACCAGCACGTTTGGAGGCAGAGCCACCAAAACCCAAATCAAAATTCAAAAATAGACTTTGGGTGGTAAAAGTGCACAATTGCCAAAATGGACGGGTGCCGTGATCATAGCAAGGGAGCCATGACAGCAGCATTAGTTATTTGAGGGGTTTGGCTCAGAACAAAGGAAGATGGATCGCGACCCAAGCATGGAAGACAGTATGTCCAAAGCAAGGGTGTTGCAATCGCTGTTCTATGGGGCTGCAGCAGCAGTGACTCAACTTCATATATCGCATTTGTGGCCCCAGGGGCTGCGATTGCGACTTTCTTTCTGGAACCCCAAACTTTCATGTGATACGATAGTATAACCTTAAACATTAAGCGACAAATTGGACCAAGCAATCTATATATAATATAATAGAGGGACATAGACAGGCTACGTGGTACTCCCAATTAATAGGAAATGCATTTTCATGCCTCTACGTTTTTCCGCATTTTAATCCTGAAAATTCACCACTTAACAACACAAGTCTCCTCACGATACAAACACAACGCTCCACATACACAATTGGTAGAAATGGCGTGGGATAGCCACTTTTTAACATGATATTTAGTTTTTATCTAGTATTTTTAATGTTGAGCAAAAATAGCTACTACTCTATTAATACGAAAAGACGTTTTTACCCTTTCTTCATGAGTGTTGTGTAAATATTAAGGACATGGTGTCCTTAGCATTTACACCTGCGCATATGAAGTTAAGGATACGATGTCCTAAAGTTTCACAACGGAAGGTGCAAATACATGGCACTTTGTCCTTAATATTTACACATCATTCTTGAAGTTAAGGACACCATGTCCTTAAAGTTTACACAACACTCATAAAGTTAAGGACGCTATGTCCTTAATATTTACACTACACACATGAAGTTAAGGACATCATGTCCTTAACATTTGCACTGCACATATGAAGTTAAGGACATGAGGTCCTAAAGTTTAATAACAAAAGGTGCAAATACAAGTTAAGGATATTATGTCCTTAACATTTACACCGCACACATGAAGTTAAGGGAGCCATGTCCTTAATATTTATACTGCACATATGAAGTTGAGGACATGATATCCTAAAGTTTAACAATGGAAGGTGCAAATACAGGACACTTTGTCCTTAATATTTACACAACATTCATGAAGTTTAAGGACACCATGTCCTTAATATTTACACAACACTCATAAAGTTAAGGACATTATGTCCTTAATATTTATACTGCACACATGAAATTAAGGACACCATGTTAACATTTACATTGTACATATGAAGTTAAGGACATGAGATCCTAAAGTTTAACAACAAAAGGTGCAAATACAAGTTAAGGACATTACGTCCTTAACATTTACACCGCAATCATGTAGTTAAAGATGTCATGTCCTTAACATTTACACTGTACATATGAAGTTAAGTACATGATGTCCTAAAGTTTAACAACGGAAGGTGCAAATACAGAACACTTTATCCTTAATATTTACACAACATTCATGAAGTTAAGGACATCATATCCTTAATACTTATACAGCACCCATGTCTAGCACAAGGGTATTTTCGTTCGAACAGATAAAAATTTATTAAGCACTGGCTAAAGAGTAAATACATTTTAAACAATGATAAAAATTAAAAATATCTCTAATTAGTGGCCAACTGTGCACTTCCCCCACAATTGACCATAATGATTTTTTTACATTCTTTTCCATACTCATCTTTTTATACTCTCCCAATTACTCTGTACTTCATCTCTATTTCTGACCCCATTTTCTCACCTTTACCTTTTAAAAATATCTATATGCTCAATCCTCTCTATCTTCTTTGTCCCATTCTTTTTTTGGTGGGAAAGTAAAAAGTCCGCTACTGCTACATCACAGCTAAACTGAAATCTTCCATATTTTTACTTTGATGCCTATGAAATCTTCCAAAGAAAACAATCTCATGCCCACGGTTTCAGCAAATATTGTTATTCACTCCAAATATTGTTTACACCCTAATTTAATTGTATAGGTGTCGATATGGACAAACAAGGATTATGAGGCCAACACGTCGTAAAAGATTTAGGGTTCGAGCCAAAGATTCTTCACTACTATACTTTTTGGATAATTCTGATACACGATTATAGAAGGCCAGCTTGATTCAAGTATAGAAGAAACAGTCGTAAGCTCAAATATAGAAGAACCAGTAGTGAAAGTCAAAAGTTAGTTACTATGAGGAAGAGTTAGTTACAGTCAATTAAAGTAGTTAGCATAGCAGAATTCTGTTAGAAGAGAATTTACTCTAGCTTCATCATTTTAGATATAATGTAATCAGTACAAATAGTGTTGTAAGCTACATTTTCAAGATTATTAATCAATACATACAACTTTAATTTAGCGTAAATTCTCTCTTCTCGTCTTCATCTTCTCTCTTCTTCTCCTGCTTCTGCAATTTCATTATCTTTACTCCTTCTGCAATTTCATTATCTTTATTGCTTTGCTCGATCAATTTCTGAGGTCGTACTGCGATCCTCAAGTTCAAATCGAATTCCTACAATCGCGTAACATTGGTATTAGATACTTCGATCCTTGGAATCATGGCAAAAGGCACACAATCAACTGACAATTCGACTGAAGAAACATCGAACCTACGTGAATTGATGCAGAAATTGATAGCTGATGTAGGGGCTTTATCTGGTGAAGTTTTAGCTTTGAAGCAGTTGGATCAGGTAGTCCTTGAATTGAAGGAACATATGACTAATTCAAGGGAACACCAGAAAGACAAATCTCCATTACCAAAGGAAGGTGAACCTTCTAAAGCAAGGTCTCATCGAGAGAGAAGCCCTACGAGCTGCAATCATTACAACTCCAATTTCTCTAGGTGGTCTAGGATGGAGTTTTTACAATTTAATGGTGAAGATCTGAGGTCATGGTTATTCAAAATCGAACATTTTTTTCTCGATGGAAAAAGTAGCTGCTGAAGAAAAGGTTGAAGTAGTTGCACTACAGTTGGAAGGAGAAGTTATTCAATGGCATCTCTCTTCCATAAGGTAACGATAATACCTACAACCTGCTACTTGGAATGAGTATGTGGTAGTATTAGTTGAAAGGTTTGGAGCTGATTTCGATGATCCAAAGGAAGGAATCAAAAAGATTAAACAAACTGAAAGTGTGAAGGAATACCAAGCCATCTTTGAAAGGAATCTGAATAGGGTGAGATTATCTCAAGAAAATGCAATCAGTTGTTTCCTTGGTGGTCTGAAGCATGAATTAAACATTGCTGTCAAGCTAATCAATCCAACAACTCTATCTCAAGTGTACAAAACTGCAAGGATGCAAGAGGCATAACTGGTTGCAACTAAACAACCATCCTACACAAACAACTCTTCAACTAAGAGATATACAGGACAAGGCAACAGTGGCAATCCATTATTACCAACTCCTAATTCTAGTATTTCTTCTTATACTATAGGGTTTACTAAAAGAACACTATGAATATATGAGATTAATGAAAAAAGGGCCAAGGGATTGTGGTATTTCTGTAATGAAAATATACACCCGGCCATAGGTGTAACAATTCAAAGCAATTGTATCTGTTAGAACTGGAGGAGTTAGAGGAGGTATTCCCTATAGATGAAGAACATGAGTTAGTAATACAAGATGGAGGGATTGATCAGCTGGAACCATCCCAATGAATGGAGCAGATGGAAATTTCTATCCATGCCTTGAATGGTTCACTAGGATACAGAACCTTAAAGGTAACTGTTTATCATGCAAAGAAGGCTCTAAGCAGAAGCGGATCTGCCTAACAAATGGTGGTGCCGGTGACCCCATGCTAATCTCACAAAAATTAATTTATTATATAGATAATTCACTTAATATTTATAAAAGTGCCCCCATGGTCAAAAATGGGTCAAAGGTGCACTAGTTGGGCCTTTTCTTTATTTCCTCAACTGGCCCCCATTCCTCTCTTTTATTTGTTTTGCACGATAGCATCATTGTATTATTTCTTTTTAGTTTTTTAATGCCAAATATCAATTATTCCCCCCAAATCTCAATCCCAATTCAGTGATTCACGCCAAAACTCAAAAGTAAATTGCGTCTCCCTCCCCCTCTCTCTCTTGTTCTAAACCCCAAATTAGTGTATCATTTGTCCCTCTCTCGGTTCATATCGCTATAATCTTGCAATTCCAGAATGGTATTTTAGAATCTCTATTACCAGCGTAAGTATCTTCTCAGTTTTTGTACTCCTTAAGCAGGTATATTTTTTATTTCTTATTTTATTGTTAATCTCAGTTGTTTGTTTGCTTTCATAAAGAGTGATCCATGTAACAGCATTGGTGGTGTATTAATTAGTAATATTTTTTTTGTGCGATTTTATTATCTTTGTTATTGAATATTTTAGCACAATGTTATGAGTTATGACTCATCTCATATTATTATTTTACTTACTTGGAAAATATATTATATAGTTGTATCCTACTATGACTAAAATAAATATTTGGAGAACAAGTTACAT